TGCGCTCACTCATCTTCCCGCCGCAGGGCCAAGCCCCCCAGGACCGTTCCCCTTGCGCAGCAACAACCGCTTCCGGGTTCCCGGGGCGAGGAGAGACGAGGCGAGACTCCGCCCCGCCCGTGTGCGTCACTTCCCTCCTCCGTCTCCCCAATGTGGCAACAGCTGGCTGACTCCGACCCTATTGGGGCGGGGTTTCACATCCCCCAATCCCACTTGTGGGTGCGGCCAGGATAGCCCCGCCTACCTGAAGGCGGAGCCCCTTGCGGCCTCTCGCCCGGTTGGGCGGGGTTTCCCCGGCGCTCCCCAATGGGGGCCCACTTTGTGGCACACCCCCCCTTATGGGCGTGGTTACCGCGCAAGCCCCATCCCTGTAGTTGATGACATCACGAGGACGCCGCTCATTTGGGCGTGGCCAGCCTCGACCCGATAAGCTCCATTGTTTCTGCCCCCGCGTGGGCGTGGCCGCCTCGCTGTATTGGGGCGGCGCGAGCTAAGATGGCGGCGCCCAGCTGGCTGCCGCCCGGCGCGCGGCCGGTGGTGCGCGTGGTGGACATGCACACGGGCGGGGAGCCGCTGCGCATCGTGCCGGGCGGGCTGGAGCCGGGCCCCGCGGGCCCCACGCTGCTGGCCCGGCGGCGCCACATGGGCGCGGAGCTGGACCACGTGCGGCGACTGCTGGTGCACGAGCCGCGCGGGCACCGCGACATGTACGCGGCGGTGCTGGTGCCCAGCGAGCTGCCGGCCGCCCAGCTGGGCGCGCTCTTCCTGCACGGCCAGGGCTACAGCACCATGTGCGGCCACGCCGTGCTGGCGCTGGGCCGCTTCGCTCTGGACGGCGGCCTGGTGCCGGCGCCGAGCCGCCCCGAGACCGCGGTCACCATCCACTGCCCCTGCGGGCCCGTCACCGCCTTCGTGCCCTGGGACGGGCAGCGCAGCGGCAGCCGCGTCCGCTTCCACAGCGTGCCCGCCTTCGCCGCCGCCGCAGGTACCGGCCGGCGCCCGCCTGCCTGGGAGCCCAGACACTGCCGGGGGGAGATCCCTGGTGCCTGTCTCGGGGGGGTGGGGCGCCCCTCTCTGTGTGATCCCCGCCTGTGTGGCACCTCTGAGCGCCTGGCCCCCGTCTGTGAGCCCCCCAATAATGGTGGGGGGCGCCCCTTGTCCGTGTGATCCCCGAGCCCCCTTCTGTGGGACCCCCATTCCCTGGAGCCGTGGGAAAGGGTGCCCCTGTTCTCCCCTCCCCCCAGACTGTACGGCCCCCACGGGTGAAAATGATGACACTGTGCATGACTAACACCACTAAACCTGCTCTCGCTTTCCCCACGTCTGCCCTGGGCTGTGGGTGTGAATTTGTGAGGTAGCTCCACACCTGGGTCAGTGAGGGATGGCGTGCCCTCACCTAGTTCCTTTCCACACACTGCAGAGGGGTGCCGGAACAATTGGTATAGTGGGGCTGCTGAGAGCCATTGAACCAAATTGTAAACCCTGTATATGATGGAAACTATTTCAAGCTGGGGATGCTGCTGCATCCTTAGTTCCAGCACCTACGGAGGAGTGTTATGGGTGCTTTGGTTCTGATGCAGCCAGCTTCAAGAATGTGCACTGGCCCCTTGACAGTGGAAGCAGGTGTCAGTGTCAAAGGGCGTGGCGCGGCTCTGGCAGCCAACAGACTTTCTGCAGAAAGGATCGTAGTTTCTGCCCTGCATGTTGCTGCCCCTGAGACCATATTGGGCTGGCAGCCTCCAATCCTGCAAAACACAGTGCATCCTTATTTGTGGGAATCAGATTGGGTCGTTTAAGACCGTGTAAACATCCATAGTTTGAAGGAGGAAGCTTGTCCAAGATTGCAGTCTCTCGAACTGCAGGGTAGTTAAGGAGATACCACTTACTGAGATCACTCCAGAAAACAGAGGAATGATTTGTGTTTAACTTTGTACACACCACTCATTAAGGGTGGGAAGGGGACAGGCAGGTGAATGTTTTGGTGGGGAGAGGGGGGTTTTAATGAAGTCTGTACCTACTTTTGACTCCACAGAAGAATAGCCCTAACTATGGATCTGCCTGATGTTGAAATTGGTGACCAGGTCGAGAGGATGAAGAACTCTGCTTTGTAGGGCTCTCTGCAGATGGGCTACCTAATGTTTCCGAGAACCTTTATTAAGTAACAAAAGAGCAGAACTTCGGATAGGTTAGAGACTTCACAATACCTGCAATATTTTAGGATGATACGCTATTCCAAATTTGTGTCTTCGCTATTGCATAACCATATTCAGCTTCTATAAGTACACTAGGAGTCACCCACACTCTTCAATCTGATGGTCTCCTGCATTTTGCCTTTTCATTTTGCTACTGCATTAATTCCTTTAGCTGTTTTGCTTTCTGTCCTCCAGCATCCTTTCCTTTCCAAGACTCCTTGTACCCATTTTATATCTGCATCTAATAATCTAGTCTACTCACTGTCATTTGGTTTTTTTTGTTTGGATATTTTAATTTTTCTAATGATTGAAACTCATGACATGATTTCTAGCATTGTGTTCCTTGACTTTCCTGTAGAGTTCTGTGCCATTCTCTTGCTTTAGCACCTAGCTTTACATCTCACTTGAAAGTAAATCTGACACTGTAATTAAGTTGACTTACACTACTGTGTTTATTAGAATCCTGCTGAATTGATTGAATCTGATTGCATTAATTTGCATTAATAAGCATGAGACCGATTGTTTTTAAAAAAATCTAATACTTCTAGTTTGGAAAGTACAGTCTGTAAAGTTGAACAAATTCAGCGCAGCAAGGACAAATTGTTCCCTGATTTAGAACCCAATCTGACCCATGGATTTTAACAGGAGAGTTTTTCCGTTGACTTTAATGGAAGTTGGATCAGGCTCTTATAAGACTTAGCACTTACCTCTCTTTATCCTTTGATGTCAAAGTGCTACACAAAATTATCCTTGTTACTATGCTAACAGTTGCATTAAAATCAGCAACATTGCACTGGGGTGTGAATTAGGACAGAATTTGGTTTCCCATGTTGGGGAGGGCAGGGGGAGATAATGTTACCAATATATGTTCATGCACATTCTGTTTGCTTTTCCCCCTCTCCTGTTCTGTTTAGATGTGACAGTTGATGTTCCTGGCCATGGGAAGGTGGTGGTCGATATTGGATATGGTGGTGCTTTCTATGCCTTTCTCAGTGCTGAGAGATTGGGATTAGATGTTTGTTCTTCAAAGACTCAGGATCTTGTAGATGCAGCAAGTGCAGTAACAGAAGCAGTAAAGAGACAGGTATAGCAGGATGCCAACAGACCCCCAAATAGTTTTCTAACAAAGTAGTAGTAGTGCAGGGTTTTTCTTACAGAGGAGACTATTCATGACATTGTTGGAATGCTATACCTGGAATGTAAAACAAAGAGTAAATATCATAATAGACTTTCTCAGGTGTTTGTGGGTGTGACCGTTCTTGCCCTGGTTCTGTAGTTTTACAGTTTAGTTAGGGCTTGTACACACTTGCGCTTACTTCAGAATAATTTAAGTCGCTCGGGGGTATGGAAAAGCCGCCGACACAGCTGCCGCTGCTGGGGAAGGTGGAGTAATTATGCCAACGGGAGAGCTGTCTCCTGCTGGCATAGAGTATCTTCACTAGCAGCTACAGTGGCACAGTTGCATCAGTACAGCTGCCCTGCTGTAGCCATTCTAGGTAGACCAGCCCTAATCCAAATTCAGAGCCACGGCTGAGGACTCTGGAGTTGCTGTTGCCAGTCTACTATACTATACTGCCTTCTGAATGATTGATCTTACTCAAAAGTGTAATATTCACATATTTTTAGTTTGAATTTTGTATTTATGTATTCTTAATTGCTTCAGAAGCGCCCATATCTAGCATCAGAATGTCTACTGTAGACTGTTTAAATGTCTGTCGTGTTTATGCATGTCCCACCTCCCACTCACCGCACACGTCCCTGTACAGCCCCAGGCAACAACAGCACACTGATGGTTTGTAGTCAAGCAAATATTAGACCTGAAAAGTGAAGTCTTGAAGACATAGCTGAGGGTTTGAGTTGCGCACAGGAAATTCCACAGTTCCTCAATGTCTGTAGTCTTAAGTGAACACAAAATAAAGAAACAGAGGTCCTGTGGCCCCTTAAGACTAACAGAAGTATTGGGAGCATAAGCTTTCGTGGGTAAGAACCTCACTTCTAAAAGTGAGGTTCTTACCCACGAAAGCTTATGCTCCCAGTACTTCTGTTAGTTTTAAAGGTGCCACAGGACCCTCTGTTGCTTTTTACAGATTCAGACTAACACGGCTACCCCTCTGATACAAAATAAAGAAGTTGCTGTCCTCACTAATTTTGTTACCTGGGGGGTAGAAATAAATGTGCCCAAGAATAGTTAGGATGATACATTTATACTTGTGTGTGCCCAGCTCTGTCATCGTGTAAAAATCTTACTGCAATTTAATTGAAAATATTTGATTGTTGGAGACGTCTGTATATCCATTCTGTGTGTTGTTCCTAGTTCAAACTTCATCACCCTGACAACGAAGAGCTTGCTTTCCTCTATGGTACTATATTAACAGATGGAAAAGATGCATTTAGTGATGAACCAACAACCAACATCTGTGTGTTTGCAGATGCACAGGTATGAAAACGTGCTACTTTAAGAGAG